AAAATTTTAAAAGATTTTATTTAATTTTAAAGAGATGGGAAGATTGGAGATTTGAAGAGAGAGAGAAACATCAGTGTTAGGGAGAAACATCGACTGGTTGCTTCTCCTAAGTGCCCTGACCAGCCGGAGACCAAACCCACACCCAGGCATATGCCCTGATCAGGGATCAAACCGGTGACCTTTTGTTTTGTGCAACGATACCCAACCAACTGAGCCACACTGACCAGGGTAGAAACAATTTTTGTTTACTCTTTAAATGGTATCAAATCACTTCACTCTTATTCCATACTTAAGATTTGTGTGACCATTTTATTTTTAAATGCCCATATTTACAACGGAACACTGGAAATCACTTCCTTTACAATTATTTAATTTCATGAGAAAAATTTTGGATGTTGGTATAAAAATGGGGAAGGGGTACATGTACTTTTCAAAATTCTTTTGGTATTGTGTAAACAAAAATTGTGAAGACCACTGATTTTGATTTTCAAACATCTGAAACCAATGGAGTTACTTGTTTGTCTCTGGAAGGTCAAAGTTACATTTCATGTGGCAACTAAGCTACAAATTACTATCTCTGAACACAATCACATTGGGTTAATTTTGGATCAGCTAGCTTTTACTTAGAAAAACAGAAACTTTTAAGCCTCATAAGACTGAGTGCCAGGTACATTTGGATGTTTGTAAGGTAAGTCCAGTGTACAACATAAAGAATTCACAGGGCCACTGTAACAAGGGTGTGAAGAATGGCCAGATCAAGAGGCAAGAAGTTTCTTACCTAACTTTGTCACAACCAACTTTCTGGATACTTCTTGGCACTCATAAAGGTGGATTTAAAACAAAAAATGCAAGCCCAGTGGTATGAGGACTCATCAAACCCACCTATAATGAGGTTCCCAGCCTGAGCCCTGGGGTGCTGCTCCAGCCCCAGGTTTTTCTCTCAGGCCCCTGGGATATGTGATAACAAGGAAAACAGCACAAATGTGAAATGAAAATGATCTAATTCTCCCCTTTCAAATAAGAAAAGTTTAACTACATTCAATCTTTGTTGACTCTAAATGGGAACTAAACAATCATATCTTCTCATTTGGTTGGACTGAAGCTTTGTCCTCATTATCCCTGTTTATAGCCCTTACCATAAGCAATCCCAGACACCCTTTATCTCCACTCACTCAAGGCTCTGCATATCACCTATTTTGAAACTTTTCTGACCACTACCCAATTTCTGAGACTCTTCCACTCTGTTCTCTGGAATTTACAGGCCATCATCAGCAAAACCTTCTGCATCCTCAATCTCTCCTTCTGAATGTTTCCTTCACCTTCTTGCGCTAAAGCAAACCTGGCTCATCCTCCAACTTGGACGTAGAAGAAGGGTCCTCCTTGCTCTTCATTGCTTCTTTCAGGCTATTCTCCCTCTTTCCTAATTCCTTCCCCTGACCAACATTTGTTTTTTTAACTTATGTCCTCTGATGTTGTCACTCAATTCACTGTGGTAGTCACCTACTCACTCATAGATCATTCTGCCCTATTTCTCAAGCACTTTAGCTTGGGGCTACTGGAACCCTCTCCAGCCCCCTTCCTGTCCTAAGTCTTGCTGCAAAATAGGTCATCCTTATGACACTCTCACCTTGACCCTTCCAATACCATATTCCACACTCCTCAGGTATTTGACTGCCATTGTCGAATTTCAGCCTGGATTTCATCACATCTCCATAATCTTAATTTCATGCATCCCACTCTAATTTACCATATTGTTGTGTAACTCTTGCAGAAGTGAGATGGACTCCATCTAAAATTTGGTTTGGATGTCAAAACCGTTGATGCCACACATGTACCCAGACAGCATGAAAAGGTTTATCACTCACAAAGAAGCTTTCTGGGAAGAGCAGGGCAGGCTTCAGGCTAGTACAAATACAGAGAAAAAAAGACATCTTAGGGTTTTATGGTGGGTGTAGGGGTGGGACCAAGGTGAAGTTTCCCTCACATGGTCTGGGTCTTGCATGATTTGAACTTCCCACTGGCACCAAAGGAATGAGCCCCCAGGCTTTCTTATCAGTTTTCCCAGGTGCGGGCATAGGGAAAAGAGGAGTGGTGGGGTTTGAAAGCTGCCAGCAAATATAAAAAATTGATCCAGACTCTATTATACACCTCCTATCTTTCCAGATAATTTCCTCTTCGTCTGACTCCTGTTGTCCCTCAACTCCACAGTGACTTGTAACTCATCAATCCTACCGATTTTTTCTGTCCTTAATCTCTCCATATCCACTTGTTCCTCATCTTAAACTCCATGGTGAATCATAACTACTCCCTTACATCCTCAGCTTCCTTGCTGCTCTCTCCTTGATCTTCTTGTCTTGATAAAACCTGATTAAATAGAATTCTAAGCCTACACTGAGCCTCTACTCTGGCAGCTGATTATTGTTGGAGGAAAAACAGCTCAATCACACTGACTTGTCCCACTTAAATTCATGACCATGAACTCAAATAGGCCCTTTATGACACTCACCAAACGTGATATTTTTCTAGTCCATTCATCTTTCCATTCTCCTAGATGACTATTTCACACCTTTGCTTCTATCCTCAAGCTTCCATTACTCTTCTGCACCTCCTCTCCACTGATGACCTTACTTCCTGTCTGAGAAAATTAAAACAATCAAAAGAGAACTTCCACAGATTCCCATAACCACTACCACCCACCTGCCTAATTCCATAGATGAACAGTTTGTGCTCCTGTCTGCACATTATCTTTTCACTTGTGTGCTGGATTCCAAATTCTCTTTCCTTCTCAAGGACACCTCTCCAAAAATTCTCTCTTCTTGCACCTATCTAAATGTTTCCTTCTCTTCCAAACCATTTGCATCAGAAACAAATATTTCTCCCAATTTTTTGGTCAACCTATTTTTGACTTCACTTCCAACAACACTTGTTCTCTCATTTCAGGGCTCCCATTTGCAGAACTTCTCAAAAGAATAGCCTAATGTTAGCCATCTCCAATTCCTCTCCTCCCATTTTTCTTAAACTTGATCAAGTGCCTCCAGACGCCCCTCCCTGCTCTACTGACGTTACCAGTGGCATCCATGGTAACAAATCCAATGGTCAATTCTCAGTTTCCACTCACATATGAGTACTCACACCTTCTTGGTACACTACCTTCACTTGCTTTTAGGCACTTATGCTTGTTTCTCCTACCATTCATTGGCTGCTCCTTCTCAAACTCCTTTGCTGGCTCATTCACTACTCCTACCTCAATGTCCCAAGACTTCACCCTTGGTTCTCTTCTGTTTACACATTCCCTTGGTGATACTGTCTAGTCTCCTGGTTTTACATATCATGTAAGTGCTGACATCTTTCTTTATCCGTAGCTTGGACTACTCTCCTTAACCCCAGAGTCATATATACCACTGCCTACTCTAGACCTCTGCTTGGATTTCTAATAAATATCTCAAACTTAAATGTCCAAAACTGAACCCTTGATCTTTCTTTTCAAACCTACTCTACCTGTATCTTTCTCATCTCTATTGATTTATTTTTTCATACCCCCTATCAGCTGTATTATACCATTTGATTTTTGTATTTATATATGTTATTTATTGCCTGTTGCCCCACCTCCAAAATGTAATATCTACAAGGGCTGGGGTTTTTGTCTGTTTTGTTCATACATGTAACCGAATGAACTAAAACAGTGTCTGGGTGTTCTGTTAATATTTATTTATTGAATGGATAAAAAATGAATTAAACCAATAGGACCTATTCTTAGCTTACTGAAATCTCTTAACCCAAACTAAAAGTCAATGAAAAATGGGTTTATCTGCTAGCAATAAATTCTGCCCAGGTTTAAAACCAGTGTCTGTGCATGGGTTGGGGAGGGGCAGGCAAGAAGGTATCTCTTCAGAAATGGAAAGCACCAGGACAAGGCTTAGACAAAAGCTACAGTGAGTGTTAAGGTTTGCTTCTGGGGAAACCAATCCTCAGAGCCACAGGCCCAAATGAGTTCTAAATGGCCACTTAAACTTTGTCGGCATCATGTGAAAGGTGGACAGTGGGGGAAAGGAAGCAAAAAACGCATCTTCTTCCAACTCACTCACATCAACAGCTGTTCTTTCACTAGGATGCTGTTTTCCCTTATTTGCACTTCATTGTCAAAAGACGCCACACCCTGCATCACGTAGCCTTAACTGAGTAGCTACGCTACGTCCCAGGTCTCCAGTCTTCAGGACTGTATTTAATTCAGTAATATTTTTCTTTTGAATTAGGGTTTCTGGGTGGGGCCGGGAAAACTGAGGCTGTTTGAAAACAATACAAACTAAAAAGCTCGGAATTTTTAAAAAGTACGTTTTAAAAATACTTTAAGGCCCTTAGAGGCAAAGTGGATTTGGGGGTCACGGTGAGTGTGGCACAGAGGAGCCTGTCCGCGTCGGGTCGGCAGCGGGCGAAGAGCCGATGCTCCCGTCCGCGTGTGTCGGTCTGCGACAGACACTCCTTCCCTGAAGCGGTCCGCGAGGCTGAACAAGCCTGTCCCCAAGCTTTCTTGAATTTCCATGCAACCGGCCCAGACACGTCCTTGCTGAAGGAGCAGAATCCTAAGGGACGCTCCCTTGCCAGTACCGCCGCGCGGGCGTAGCCGAGGGAGCCCGGAGCCAGCGCCTTGGACCCACGCGCGGCACAGGCCCTCGCCGCGTCCGGTCCGGCCCGCCCCGCGCGGAGCGGAGCGTGTTACACCAGAGCGTCGGCGGCGCCCCCTCCCTCCTCCGCACGCCTCCCCTTTAAGCGCCAGGCACAGCTGGATTTGTGTCGGCTGAGGCGACGAGCGACTCCCTTTTATGGCGGCGTCGGCAGCAGCGACTCTGACAGCCACGACGGCCGCGAGAGCGGAACGAGAGGCCGGGCCTCGGGCAGCGGGCCACCAACACCGCAGCGGAGCCGCGAAGAGCGCCGCGCGCGCCGGGGCGGGGGAGGAGGAGTGGGCGGGCCCGGCAGCGCCGGGGGCGGGGAGGCGGGGGAAGGCGGGGAGCCGGGCCGCCAGCGCTCCGGTCTGCCACTGACTGCGGCGCGGCGGGGCGATGTGTGATTACCATGGCGAGGAGTCTCTGTCCGGGGGCCTGGCTAAGGAAACCGTATTACCTCCAGGTAGGCCGGCGGCGAGCCCGCCGCGCGCCCTCCCTCGCCGCGCGGTACTTGCCTACCTCCCTCCTCTTCCCTTGGTCGGCGCCCGCCGGAACCCCGCTGCCCCCTGCTGTCGGCACCTGGCGGCGCGCCCTCCCAGCCGCCCGGGCGCCGCAGCCCCCGAGGCAGCACTGCCCGCGCCCCACAGCCGTTGCCCTTGCACCTCCCGTGCCCCGACCTGCAATGCTCTGAGACCCAGGTCACCCGGCCCGGGCTCGCCCTCGCACCCCTCGCTTCCCAGGAGCCCCGAGACGTGATTCGGGTGCGACCCTATAGCCCTAGCAGTCAGGGCTGGGCAGTCTGGGTTCGGGACGTGCCTCGGTCTTCTCCTCGGTCTTGGTGCTCTCCTCCCCCTTCCCTCGTGGGCCCCACAGGTCGGCTGTTTTCGATTCTGTGTCCTGGGTCTTTAATCGGTGGTAGGTAAGGTGGTGTGTCATTCTTCCATATTTTGGAAAATAATGGCAATTTGTCACATCACTGTTTCCCGGAACCCCTGAGAAGCCCCGTGTGCCTCGTGCCGAACCCCTTGGTTCGATCTTTCCATCATCCGTGATTTAAATGGGAGGTAGGGCTCCGAAGCCCGATAGAGTCGGATGGCTGTTTGCTTTTTAAAAGGGAAGGAGACAGTGTCTGGTGGCGATCCCAAATACCCCAGCAATACAAATGTTATTCTCAGTCATGTCATGTGTACTGTTCGCGTGTTAATTTTTCATGATTTCCGTTCCACCCTCTGTTCCGCTGCCAGTCAGTCTTCGAACACTACTATTGCCTTCATGTATTTACTTGGTCACTAGGGGGACCTAGTGGACATCATTAGTAGCTGAGGGCAAATCCATCACCCCTTTGGAAAAACAACTACAAATCAATGCCTGGCACGGGGCAGCGGTATTGTCTGCATTCAGAGGACAGTATTCTTTTACTTCTTACAAGAAAAGACTTAAAGGAATTGATAGATAGTTCTGGGACAGGAATTCCTGCTCAGCTGGTGTTTTTATAAATTGTTTAAAAAGTTTAAGAAATCATCGTGGAGCAAGTAAATCTTTCGTTTTCGTTTGGACATTGCATTTGTAAGTCATTACCCTGCCATGAGTGATGTGCTGCAGATTGGAAGCATGGTTTGACAACCCATGAAATGATGGGTCTTTGTAGCAGTTCCTCCAGTAGTAACTGTGTCCTGAGGAACCGTGCAGCAACCCGGGCTAGAATTCAGTCCAGGCTACGTGGTACCTTTATGTGACGAACATAATGCCTTTCCAGACTATCCCCAAAATAAGTTTATTGAGCTATTTAAAACTTTTCTTTTTACTAAAACTATTTAGGTATTTATTTTGAACCTTTTAGATTTTGTGGCAGTCTTAGTTTTAGACTTTAATTTGCTTGCCTCTAAGTGTTCTCTGCAGATATGGCTGTGACACTTTTTGGCACTATAGCACAAGAGCTTTCAGATTGATTACGATTAGTTTTTACAAATATTTATGTCTCCATTAACAGCAAACACTTGGTATTTTGCCTTTCTAATTGTGCACATCATTATCTGTTACTAAATTAAGGTGAACACAGATTTTAAGCATTTCAAAAGGATTTTGGGCAGAGTGATATTTTAGTAGGTTATTTCTACATAAAATAATGATTAAACAGAAACTTTATTGATTATGGTATTATTTGAGACTTGGAAACCCAGGGAATTGGTGTTTTAAACATTGTCTTGGTATTTGTATTTATTCTTTGCATAAACTTTCTTATTGTCAATTTAATCAGTTTTTAAAAAAGGCCCTCAGATACCCAAGAGTCGTATCTTCTTCCATTACCTGCTACCTAAATTCCTCACCTTCTGTTTTTCATGCTTTCTCTATCAGTAGGTGCTTCAACCTCGAATTGTTTTGCACAAATCAAAATAAAATCTATTCAACTGAGTCTACTATACAGCTACTCAGTTTCTCAACAACTGAAGGTTGAATTAACATATACAGTATTACTTTCATATTTTTCTTGAGAATAAAATCATGTTCCTTTAGAAAAAGTATGAGTCATGATGAAGAGCTGAGTTTTGTTCATTTGTGCATCTATTTCATTATGGCTTTGAAAAAGTTTTATAACTTTTTGGCTTCATAGTTTCCACATCATAAAGTTGAAATTGTGGTTCTTAGCTGAATGCATCACATGAATGTGGTGAGATAAGCCAGATGAAGTTAAATCTGTTTTGTTATACCTTTACTTCATTTTAAATAGAAAAGCATATGAACCTTAATTGTAAATACATGTAAGTAAATATGTTGAATTCCTTCAACCAAAGGTCCCTGGCTTTCCACTCCCTCCTTTCCTTTATATATTGAGTGCATGATATTACTTATTTTATTGACTCATTCACTTACTTAATAAATATTTGTCACATGCCAGAAACTTTGCGAGGTGGTAGGTGTTCTGTAGGAGCTAAATAAACACCTTATAGTTGAGTCAGGGAGACAAACATTAATCAAATAATCTCAGAAATATGTATTGACAACATTAAGTCCTATGAAGGAAAGGAATAAAGAGTATCTGAGTGGAAGAGAACAGTTTATCTCTCTCCTCTAAAAGTATTTTACTATGGAACATTTTAAAAGTAAATAAAGTGGAAAAGAATAATGAACTCTCCTGCACCTACCTACCAGCTGCCTTCCACAATTATCAGTATTTTGTTTAATTTTCCCTCCCCCATACCGTTCTTCCAACTACCTAAAGTATTTTCAAGTAAATATGAGATATCACATCATTTTATTCAAATATCTCAGTATGCATTTCTAACAGATAAGGGTATTTTTACACATAATTATACTTTACCATTATCATGCCTAGGAAATTAATAACAATTCCTTATTTTTTCACCCCCCCCCCCAGGATGCATTACCCTAATAGGACTGAGTAAATTCGATTTGCCATTGAGTGGATTTACTGTGATTTGAGAGGTTCTCTTGGCAAAAAACAAAACAGAAACTCTCCCCTAACCAGCTTGTTCCTACTGGAAATTCTTCATTTGAGGGAAACTAATTTTCATTTCATGTCTTGGGATATATATGTCTTAGAGAATAAATGTCTCTTTTAAGTAACATTTTTAGAAAATGTATAATTTTAATTCAAAGTGAGGTTGTAATTAGTCAACAGGTGTAAAAAATCTTGTTTCGTTTGGGGGTAGGGAAAGGGGTAAAGAGTACAAAAGGAATTGTATTGCAAAGATAGGCAGAAAAGATAGAGGGCACAGCAAGAAGAGGAGGAGGTTATAGAGATGAGTATTGTATACTTGCACTTTTGCAGTTTGTCTTCAGCTGGGTGGAATCAAAAAACATTTGTGTCCTGAGGTGTTCAGGCTTTAGGGCTTGAAATTAATTGCATCTCCCCCCTTCCTACAGATTACAGGGAAACAAATTTTTAAATAATTGACTTAGGTATAAAAGAGCTTCATTCCCAGTGTCTTCACTAATCCAGGTATCACTGGGGTAATTGATAATGGTTCTAGAGAACTTTAGTATTATGCAATAAATGATATGTTTTCAGCTATAATATGGATTAAATAGGCATTTATGGACTAATGTGGGGCCTGATCATTATTTATAGCTTTGTTCATATATATAGCAAAAGAGATTCTGCTTGTAAAGAAAACAACTGATGTGGTATATCCATAGAGTAGAATATTATTCAGCAATAAAGAGTGAAGAACTGATACATGCTGTAACATAGATGAACCTTGTAAACATTAAGTATATGGAAGAAGCTGGTCACAAGAGACCACATAATTATGTGGTTCTAATTATATGAAGTGTCCACAGCAGGTAAATCTATGAAGACAGAAAATAGATAATTGTTGCTTGGAACTGGGAGGGTTGGGGGGAAAATGGGTATGAAGTGTCTTTTTGAGGTAATGGAAATGTTCCAGGATTGATACTGGTTATGGTTGCACAACTCTGTCAGTATACTCAGAACCATTGAAATGTATAGTTTAAATGAATACATTGTATGGTATATGAGTTATATCTCAATAAACCTGTGAAAAAGAAGGAATTGAGTTTATACCATTGTGATGTGGTCCTTCCCTCTACCTCTTGTTGCAATGCCAGCTTTTTGGTGCAGGGAGCACTTTTCCCAGAGGAGTGGCGCAGGCACACTGTTTGCTTGTGTGGCCTCTCTGTGAGCCAGGAGGGCCTGTGACCTGCAGAGCCAGCTTCTCATGGCAGGGCATTCCAGCAATTTTTGAGGAACCTTACCTGGGAAATAGTATTTCCTGGTTTGACTAAGTATGCATGGAACAGAGTAGAATCCTGCCTCTGAGATCAGAAATTGGATGTGTTAACCAGTTTAGACCATTTTTAGACAGTATTTCTTCCACTCCCCATATGGTGATATTGCTTTTGGCTTACTCGATGTGGTGACTGGGACACCTGCATTTGTCTGTTTTTAGCAGTGTGTTCTCTACAAATTAGGATCTACTTTGTTTAGCGTTTACTCATAGTCTGAGTGGGGCTGATAACATAGCAGCCCTATAATTTGTTGGTTTTGGTTTTGAATACCTTCTTCCTTCTCACTGTCATTTAAGTCCTGAAGAATGAAACTTGGAACAATTAAGGGTAATTCCCTATACTTAGGTTATACACATTTTCCATTCCAGTCATTCTGCCTGCATGCCCTGTTACACATAAAAAGCTAGCAAAATTCTAATGAAATTTGAAGTATCAGATACTTGGGTACTTCTGAAGGTTTCAGGCCCTTTGGGATTGCAAAAGTTTTAAATTTCTTGAGGCATCACCCTCTTAAACATAACTGCTCTAGCAGTTTCATCATGTGTCCAATAAGGCTCACATGAATGCATGGATAGATGGTACGTTCTAATTAGGGTGTTAGCACTCATTTAACATTTCTTGGCTCTTTGGTTGGTATGTGCTGTTTTTCAAACATGACTACTGTAAATGGTTTGGTTCTTTAGGACTTAAAGT